ACGTTCTTCATCTCTATAAATAACTGCCTTTTGTACTCGCATCAGTCTGGCACATTACCTGCATGCTTTGTCCTTCTGCCGAAATTGATATTTCAGGTCCCTGGTTGAATTTTGCCTCTCGGCTCCACTCTCAGGCCTCTCAGATCACAATTATGTCCCCCTCTTCTTTGGCCTCTTTTCTGGTCCATATCGCATCGGTTCAACGGTGGTTTAGGTTCCCAAAGCGTCAGCACATCATACTAGGCCATATTTGATCCACTTTCCTACTGCTCCACGCACTCTTAAACCTCCTGGACCGCACCGGCCTCCGGCTCCAAATGTCTATAGGTCTTAAACAATGGCTTCTCTTTTTCTGAGCATCGATTACAGTTCTCATTGGCATAAGAAACAGCCTCATGATACTGGCTCATTACCTGCATGCTTTGTCGCCTGCAAAATTGCAATTTCAGGTCTCTGATTGACTTTTGTCTCTCGGCTCCACCATCATGAATCTCGGCTCACAATCACGTTCCCCTATCTTGTTTGGCCTATCTTTTGGTCCATATCGCTTCGGTTCAATGGCGATATAGGTATCACTAGCGTCAGCGCAAAATCCTAAGCTTCTTTTGTTTCCCTTTGCTACTGTGGTACTCAGTTTTAAACCTCTTCGACTACTCCAGCCTCTCAGTCCCCAAATTCCCATAGGCATCCAACCAAGGCCTCTCTTCTTTTGAGGATCGGCTGCCACCGATTAATTTTCTCACTGGTATAATTAACTGCCTTATGTGCTCGCATCCATTTGACACATTATCTGCATGCTTGGTCGTTCTATGGAAATTGCAATCTCAGGTCCCTGGTTGAGGTTTGCTTCTCGGCTCCATTCTCATGCTTCTCAGCGCACAATTACGTCCCCTCTCGTGTTTTGCCTCTCTTCTGGTCTATATCGCAACAGTCCAATGGCGGTATAGTTATCACTAGCGTCAGCGCAACATCCCAGGTCTCTTTTGGTTACCATTACTTCTGTGCGTCTCATTCCAAAACATTTTGGCCAAGTCAGTCCTCTGAGGCTCCAAATGCCCATAGACCTCAAGCCAAGGCCTCTCTTATTTTGAGCATCGGCTGCCAGCGACTCAAGTTCTCATTGGTATAAGTTACAACCTCATGATACTCTTCTTTGTCTGAATCATTATCTCTATGCTTGGTAACGCCTACCGAAATCCGAATTTCTGGTTTCTGATTGACTTTTGCCTCTCGGCTCCACTATCATGCATCTCAGCTCACATTAACGTCTTCCCCTCTTGTTTTGCGTCTCTCTTCGCTCATATCGCAACTATTCTTTGGCGGTATAGGTACCACTAGCATCAGCTCATCGGTCACTCCATTGATTTCAGCCAGCACATCTTTACCATAAATTTTATATTTATACAATAACATAGTCCTGTTCAATTTTGTTGGCAGTTTGCTCGGTCCGTTTTTCTTCTCACCCTTGTTCTGCAGGATAACATTACCTGCACCGAACACCGCTGAAGACGTACCTGCGACGCTCCCATGGACACGGATTCAATAAAGAACAAAGAAAAACCCGCACTTCATAATCATGACACACTAAAGAACCTAGGAAACTGATCAATTCAATACAAGTCACCTGAGTCGTCCGACTTCAACAGCTCCAACCACTTGTAATGGACTCCGAAGGCGACTACACAGCCATAGGGAACAAATTGGCGTTGCGTGACTGCGAATATCCGCGAGGGTAATCGGTCAGATACCATCTTGTCAATGTATAGCAATAGCCGGCAGTGTTCTAGGACGTGGTGGGTCTTCGTCTGGCAAGCGTTTTCCCTACAAAAAGCCACAAATGTCTGCTTAACAACACTGCGACGTGGCGGATGTGACTCGCCACTCAATAAAGTCACCGCCCCTAACACATTGGCAAGTTGATTGACACCACATTTACAAGTTCTGTGCATATATCGGCTCTCGCATGAACACGCCTACATATCTGACTAGTGACATACCATTATGCTTAAGTAGTTTTCACCCGTTTCCTGACCTACATTGCTTATGGGACCTCATCGGACTAGTTCCTCATCAACATACCATATAAGTGATCTGATCACTATTTTTACCTCTCGCATTCTGTGTACATAGACTACATACAACCTTTGGGCTCTATGGGCCCACACTACTGTCTCCAACTTTACTACTCCCACTGTTGGTGCTGCTTATTCGGCTATCATGTACAATAATGCAATGTGCTGATCATGCCTAAAAGGCGTGTCTCGCTTTGTCGAGAATAAAATATTTATTTATTTATTTAATTTAGGAGCCCGCCAAGTTGTAGTATTTCTGCAAACGGCGCCGCTAGACTACCATGTACCAAGTCTTCCACACAGTGATGCTCATATACGATATCACAAATAAATCTGGGTTAACATACAGAACTTAAGCATGCATGCACTTGGCATGCATATGTAGTAGTTCCATTAACCACCCTATTTTTTCTGAAGGACTTTGGATGACATGTAGAAGAGGTTGACGATGTGCCAGCAGAGCAGCAGCTTCGCTCTTGTTCTCTCTATATAGGAGAGGGATCTACCCAAGCGGTCATTATTATTTGTTGCCTGCCCATGAGACGTTTACAGGATGTTATCCTTTGCACATCTTACTTCAGTTTATCTCTGGTCAACATATGGATGATATAGGATGTTCACGTTGCTCGTTTACTTAATTCTTCTAAGCGGTGTTCTCCCGGTTCTCCTCCCCCCTTCCCCTTTCTCCGTGTTCCAAAAGTTTAACAAGGACTTTCTGCGGATTCCGCAATGGACCGTTACTCAAACTAGGAGTAAACCGCACACATCACACAAGTTTAGCGAGGATAGCTAGCCCTCACGATTCGGAGAAGTATACTATGACAGAAAAATCCTAATCTCCGTTTACGGATATCACTGTCGCCACCACCATTTTGGTGCGTTGTTTGTCGAAGAAGAAGAGCAGATGTGCCTATAGATTCCATCATATTGATTCACACTACTAACAAACATATGAGTAGAAAGTTATGAGACGTAAAGTTCTTTAGCGATTTCTTTGGATGAAGGATGGAGTAAAACGGGATGTATTCTGGCTACGACAGCCTCGCTATGGTTTCAAATAACGCTGCTACCAATACGCTCGTTGAGACCGGCGAGAAGTCACTGATAAAGTATCAGTGCCACCAGAAAGGGGTTGCCCTCCATCCTAATGAAGGCAAAAAACGAAGACTTTTGGATCACACACAGTGCGGGGTGTAGTTCAAAGGTGGTAGGCTGGGGACTTCGTTTAGAATAACCAGGTTCCACAAGGTGCATAACCACGAAGTTTTGGGTAACGAAGCATTAAAGTGCTTCAATAGAAACCGTCGCTTAGAGCCGGAGGAGCTGGAGATAACCAGGCCAATGCTGGAATGCCGAAGCCGATGTTTCAGCATCCGGTTCCACGTCAGATCGAAGTTCGGAAAATACCTGGCGAATGTGGACCTCCGCAACCTTCGAGCGAAGCACATTTACTGGCGCATCAATCCAGGTAACGTGTTTTCGATTGGGTAGCTTAAAATGCACCGTTTTAGGATATGCACTGGACAATAAATAAATAAATAAATAATTTATTCTCAGTTTCATAGAGACACACCAACGCAGGCATGATCAAGGTTTAAAAACCGACGTGTATCACGACGATACATTGGGTTCAAGCGTGTGTAGTTGAAACAGAGTCGGGAAGAGTTGATATGTTAGTCTAGTCGACATGCCAGTTTGTAGTTGTGGGCTGTGACTTTATTCAGTGGCGAGTCACATCCGCCACGTCGCAGTGTTGTTAAACAGACATTTGTGGCTTTTTATAGGGAGAACGCTTGCCAGGCGAAAACCCACCACGTCCTGCAACACTGCCGTAAAGTATTTTGAACATTAATGTTGAACTGGCAAAGCCGCTTGACGACTGGTTTTACCTTCGGATTTTCGCAGAGTAATGGCTTCCAATTTCCTCTGCTAGTTGGACAGGTAATTTGATCGGGGTCGCCATTATTTTTGAGATCGGTGGAGGAGAGGGACCTCGTGATTATTCATCTTATTGTATGTCCAGGTGAGCAAAAGTTCAACTTCTCCGCTGTCCAGGTTTTACAGATGTATAATTTTGGGGAGTATGAAGATATGTCCATTTCTCCATACTGGACAAGGGTTATGGTGATTGCAGTTCGGTCCTCTGGGAGTTCTACCATGCTCCAGGTAAGTCCATGTAGGTTGTTGCGTCCGTCTTGGGCCAAAACTGTTCCTCAGTCCAATCCCAGATCTCCAAGAATTCCCGAACCTCAGAGAAAAGGGAAAGTGAGGGACAGCCGAGAGAAGACCGCAAGAACAGGCATGGAGTTGAACATTGTTAATATCTTAAGTTACAACACTTGTGCTTGAGACAAAAGCATGTACACTGTGCAACAATAATTATGCTGAAAATGTCTTTTGAATATCCTACAGAATCATTAGCCGTATAGGTGGATTGCTAACGCCTGCCTAGAGACAAGATCGTTGTACAAGTAAAGTCCGAAGTATCCGTTTAGTAGGAGCCAATAATTGCGTAGGGATAGAGCAAAGAGAGTTAGAATAATGGTAGTGATTGCCAGATTATGAACAGCAAGTAATTGACGTAATCCGAGAGGGAGCGCGTAATAAGCGAAAATAAATAGGTTGCCGTGAGAGTCCTAAAGATTAATTGGTGGCAGGGCAGAGGAAGGATTGGATGCAGAAATTCTAGAGGAATAAAGGATATTGAGATACGGAGTGGCTCCTAACAAGCATTAAATTATCGCATATGCATGGAGCCAATGGCCACTATCTATTTCTGAACAGAAATTCCGAATATACGACGTCCGACAGGTGGCGATAGAAGAGACTAAGTGGCCGGATGTAGCCATTCCAGTCAGACGCTTGGTCACTAGCGTATGCCTATAGGGTCGCTGAGTGTATCAACAGGCCAATGAAGGTAAGTGACAGTTCAGGTGCTAGGTCAACAGACCAGCAGAGCCGTGACGCAAGCAATCCAAAAGAATGAACATTGCAAGAAGGGAGCTAGCTCCGGATATCCGCAAAGTTAAGTGGAAGCTACGGTGACAAGCTGTTGCTAGGTAGAGATATTAGCTCTAGAAAAGAATGTCAGTCGCTGTTGAAGCCATATCATTAAGACGATTGATCACTATTGGATACCTACAGTTTCAATGAAGAAATCAACATGCGAGTGAAGATTCGAGAGACAAACGTCAGAGAAAAATGAAGGATGGAAATCAACGAGTGGATCCTTGCAAGCTACATGGAGCCAACAATGACTAGCACAGTTTAACCAGTGAGGTTGAACCCGGTGTTTTCGCGACGAAAACAATCGGATCACGTAATCCGTCTACACCACACCCGAGATACTGCAACTGTACTCCTGTTTTCCCGACTTTTTGATAATTGGTAGCACCTACTCCACTAACTGACAGATATACTTTACCTACTGCTTATATTCGGTGACTGTCGAAAACGTCTGCCGGTTGCCATTGCTTTTCTCTGGCGGGAGAAGGAGACTGACTTCAGAACCTTATGTTTATAAAGTTCGTAGGTGGTGCTTTTGGCGTCAAGTGCATCATGTCCGATGGTGCACCGACCATTGTGAATGCTGTACATACCGTACTTCCTTTCACACATCATTTCTTATGTCACCTCTACATAATTAGAAATGTTATCAAACGTTTTCCGCAATCCGCCTCATTCAATGTTTTTCATCGCCATATACACATTCAGCTTTTGGAAATCTCTAGCTAAATTGGAGCTCATTCGTAATAACCATTAATTTTTCTTCCACTATATCAGTTCTTTTCTTGTGCCCATGACGCCTGCAGATGGGCCAACAGCAGGATGCCCGGCGCTGCAACATACGGCATACACGCTTTGAATATGGTAGAGTCCATGCCTCAATGCTTAAAGATGGAACTGCTGAATGGGCGAATTGCATTATAGGAAGCCATACGAGTTTCACGGAGGAACGTGAGGTATGTGATATGGAACCGCCAGAAACCGATATGGGATGCAGCTCGTCGCGACGTGCGTATTGTCGATCATCCGGAGTTGGACCGCTTGTGCCGCCGATTGGTGCCTTACGCAAGTTTCGTAATATCGTCTGACTTAAGTTCAACGTATCCGGTTGTGGTTCTCAGTAGCGGTGTGCATGCAACTGTTTTCAGCGATCGCCGACTGGGGGCGGTAAAGCACGACAGCCGTGCGTGCACATGCCAAACTAACGTGGGATTTGAACTTCCATGCAGGTACCTGGTGTAGTACTTACAGCTTAACAGCGTGGATGTCAGCGAACTACCGGCCAGCCGACGTTGGACGAGAGCGAATAGTGGGGCACTTGCCATTTCATTCGCCCTGTCGGAAGACAAGAACCCATCGCCATTTTGAAGATAGCATTTAATGAGCTACTTGCACTGTATCAGCGACTGCAACCAGCACACTTTGCGCTGTATGTCGCGTGGCAACGTAGT